TTGTGTATAGGCTGCTTGTGTATCTAATTGATTATTTGAGAAAAATAATTTCCATAATAGTGTTTGGTTGCTTCAATAAATTCATACAAAACTATGTACATAATGACATTTACAGAAACTGTGAAGTTGTATAGATTGCAAGGATGAGTCAGTACATTTCAGGATACTTTGCAGTGAGTGTGCACACCCTGCTTGAGCCTCCGCCTCCTAGTTGGCTGCAGTAGGAGTCATCTGGACAGGAAGTCTCCCACAGTGCAATGGCACCAAACAGCATCTATACCAGCCCTCGCCCACTGCCTCCGTGCTTATTTGTTTGATTAATGAGAGAGCAGTGGCTGGACGGAATCTTTTGCAGCTAATTTTCTCTGGGTGTCTGGCCAATGTACATGTTAACCATTACAAATGCAGCGAAATAATATGCTGAGATGAGCCGGGTCGATTTTTGATCAACGCGCTCCCACAGCCGATCGTCTCTGCAGTATTTTATCTTCAGGCAGATTTGAGTTGGTGATGCAACAAAACACAAAATACCTGAGGCAGTTTGAAACCATAAATGCACTAATGCACCTCCTGTTCTCACAGTGCTGGCTCACTGCTGGCAGAGGTTTGTTGGCTTAAAGATTAATCAATCTCTAAGCCAGTTATTCATTTGTTGCCTTAGTAACAATTTATTAAAGTTTGAATTGACATGAGACATACTTGATGGAATGTGTTAGATGCACAATGTTTTTATTTGAACAAAAATGTGATTATTTTTCATCCCATAAGAAACAGGAGCATGTAATAAAAGTTGGGTAAAACATATCTTCATCTGTCTGCCATCTCCTCAGCATTTATTAGGTTGAATTGAGAAGCCATCTTGTTTGCTGCTCGCTAATCCGTTGATGTCATTAGCTTCCTATTAACTTGGTGTGATTTCTAGTTACATTGGATTTACATTGTGTCACTCTCCATATTTTTTTTCCTCCCAGGCTTATTTGCAGAGAAAAGGCCATTATCTGTACCAAACTTCACCTCTGTAATTTCCAAAATGAATTCTCCACCCTCCCTTTCTTCTTCCAATTACGTTTCTCATTCTGCCCGGATTTCATGGTCACTCCACGGTCACACACATGTCTCGTTTCTCCTTCGACTAACCACCCTTTCTCGCCTCTTCAATGAACAGATGCTTGTGCAGTAACTCTCAGGCTCTTAGGGATCAGTTTTGCATTCACACATCAGTTATTTAGTCTGGGGTGCTTGTATGTATCCCTGTGCCTGGTTGGTTGCACACCTTGAATCTGTGTATATGCCACAAGTCAGAATGACAACAAGTCATTATACATCTGATAAATGAGATAATCTGCCTCAGTGCAAGGATCAGGGGAGGTTGGGCCGCTGTCAGCTGAGTAATTAATAAGAAAAAGTTTGGCATGTGTGTATGTGTACGAAGGTTGTGTGCTTCAGTGACCTTGAAGAAAAGAAGCCTGCGTGGGTAGAATGTGATTGATATGCATTCCGGATATCTTGATTGACCCCCTCGGCTTTCGCCACGTTATCCATCTATCTCACATTCTGTGTCCTTTCTCCAATTTGACTAACATCTCACCTGCAAACTGCTCCTGTACATCTACTGTGACTTTTTCACACAACTGAAGGAATTTCTATTGACTTACATTCATTTGCTTATCTGTTACCCCAACCTTAACATCTGACATGCAAACTTTGATGCCACTTTTCAAGGAAGAGTTCAACATGTTGGTAAATCTGCTTATTTGAGAGGGAAGTAATCGGATAAAGACTGTGAGCAGGGACTCTACATATAATTTTTTCGGTTTGCTCCAACTATATTATGACCAAATGCTGTCCCACCAGCTTGTGTTTAACAAAATAATTCAATACTTCATTCAACCAATCTAGGAATTATTAGCAATTAGAGATGGTTGCAAGCTTAACAAGTAATCTTCTAGCCTTTGTTAGTTTAATTTAAGTTGTTAACAAGAAAACAACAAAGCCACCCTATAGATTTACAATTACAGCAGTAACCTAACACAGGTTCCATGATATCCACATAAAACTAATTTCAAATTTCTGCCATCTGCAATGTATGTCCTTATGGATATAGTTTTTTTATTGAATGTTGTTAAAAACATCAAATAAGCAACTAAATTTGACTGTTTTACAAATGTACTATTGATACCTAGACATATGGTGGCACCCACACAGCAAACTGTGTTTATGTTACAGTGTTGGCTTCCTTCTGTTCTTACAAATGTCACTGTGATTCTAAATTAGGTTGAATTATGTTTTCTTACTTGTGGGACAAACTATGGCTCTCCACAACCAGGTAGTGTGGCTTCCTGGATTTCTTGTCGTTAACATAGAAGTAGCCGGGCAACCTACTCTACAGGTGCAGATGCTGCACAGTAGTTAATGAGCGGACAGATGAAATGCTGCTTGTCAGGATGAAGCCTCAGCATCGTCCTTCCTGAAAAACTACAAACCCTCACTTTTCACCTACTTTGTGAATCAAACAAGATATAGCCATCAACTGTAGATAAAGAACATTTGTAATTCGTCCCATTAGCCAGAGATGAAGCAAAATATTGCTGATAACAACTGTCTGCGCAGTAGTGATCGAAGGATGACACATCCATAGCAATGTCCCAGCAATACACACGTTTGACCAACCACGAGTCAGTCTGAGCTATCAATCATGACATTTCACCTTGTCCTCATTGCATTGAATAAGTGATTAAAACCAAACATACTAGAAAAATGAGCAGCCGAAGAAGCATTAGTGTGATAGGAACTACCTAAATAAATTTTACTTTATACTTGTGCCTCCATATTATTCAGTTATTATATCTTCATCATGGGGGCTTTTCCAAGCAAACATCACTATTATACTGTATATGTTTATCATTAAATTGACATCTATATGTATTTCTGAAGTGCCAATCTCTTGCCAGCTAATTAAAGTTTGTCTAGCTCCCCCCCTGCAAAATACTATCTTTGTGAAAAAATGTATTTGAAGTGTACTTTGACTTTATACGTGGTCCATGTTCTGTCCATTAACATGGAGGAGGTGGGATTCATGACCTTTATTGCAGCCAGCCTTCAGTTTATGCTTTGGCTTCACTTTTGGGGTGCAGCCATACAGTTTATAAATAGAGCGTGTTCATTTTTTGATGTTTTTAGGCTAACTATTTACCCTTACTTCTAGTCTGTCAGCTAGTGAAGGGTAATCAGCATGTGTCTCCAGCTGTGTGATACATGTAAATATACAGACAACCGAATTTAATCAATCCTTTCGCAAACAAGTGTGTGTCCAAAAAATGAAGAAGCATTATTTCAACATGACAGTAACCCAGAGCTCTACCAAACAAATGCAAAAGACATACACACCCCGAGCTGCATGCACTCACAAAGCCTTGTTTGCCCATTGTTTGCATAATGCCAGTCAGAAAGTCTCCACATTTCCCCGAGCCGGTATCCCTCTCTATCTGCTCACCCTCCACTCAAGGTATAAACACATTAAGGTTGAACTCCTAATTGCCCATGTGATGGATGCTGGAGCATAATGAGCTCTTTATGAGACTTAATACCTACTGTTAATCAATGGACATAGCAGGGCACTTTACAATACTACTTCCTAAGCATTTTAAAATGAGCTCTCATTGAAAAGATTGACTCACATTCTGTATCCGTCTCTCTCTTTTTTTGTCTCCCTTCTCATTCTTCCTCCATCCCAGCATGCAATTAGTTACATCACATGCTCCGAATCAAATGACGAATGCTCTTTAGAAGTCCCCCCAGCCTGATACCCATAAACACTGTCCAGACAGAAAGATTTTTTGATGAAAATGCAATGCTACGCTATAATGCAGGGGGTGGACTAGACTTTCCTTCGCCTCGAGTAACAGAACCATGGACGACCCATTTATTACCATAATATCCCATACGGGCAGCTGCTGGGAGCGATTCTGTCAATTACTGCTGGTTGTTGTATTGTTGTACTTTGATCTTTAGCTGCTAATGTAATGCATTGCTCAAGGCCACTGCACTAGTATCATGCTGTATTAGCATCATAATCATGTACAATCTGCATCCCCATGTATAAGATTTGAATAGAATAAAAGTGGTCTGTTGGTGATGCAACAGAAGTGGACAGATCCGACGTGGGTGCTGGAGGAGGCGAGGTCTTGATGTGTAGTTGTGTTACAGTTTGTTATACTGGCTGTGGTATGTTAAGGTTACACAGGTATCTCCGCTCAGGAACCTCCATACTGTAAATGTGCATCTGTGTGTGTTTGTGATGTTCTGTGTGTGAGTGTGTGTGTGTGCGTCTGGTGTGTTTGATTATCCCTTACAGCCTCTAAGGGAGCAGGATTCATTCTCACTCTGATAATGAGGGAGAGACTAGCAATGCCCTCAAGTCATTTCTCCTCTTCTTCCATCCTTCCTGTTGCATCCGGCTGCTCTCCTTTCTTTCTTGTCTTTTACCTCTTCCCAAGCTTGATCTTCCGTGTCTCTTCTCCCGTCATCTGTCTCGTCTCTCAGCTTTCCACCCACTTTTCTTTCTGCATTCTCTTCCTCCTCTTGTCTTCATTGTTTTTGCTTTTTGTGCGTCTGTATTCATGAGTCGCTGACATCAGTTTAGAACGACTGCACCGTGTTTGACTCACTCTTTGTTTTTATATCATAGATTTAAATGCCGGCTGACCATTTTTCATCAGCCCCGGTCAATGGTTGACTGTCTCTGTGGACCACAGCGCTGGCAGCTCTGTTTCTCGCCACAATAGCCTTACTGATCGCGCGTCAATAGTCTGATGTGTAGCATATTTAGCCTGCTCAAATGTCCCCTCTCCTCGCTCCTTATTACCTAAAATTGCCTGTAGTTTCTCCAAGGAGTGCAAAGTAAGAGTGAGTCACAGCAGTGCCTCCATTAATTTTATACCAACCTTTCGCTGTCTTTCTCACTCTGCGTCTCTCCTCCTCTCTCTGTCTCTGTTTTCCAGGTGACTGAAGTGGAGACTGACATTACCGAGGCCAGCTAGGAGGCCCTTCCATCTCCCCACCACCTCCTCCCCCTCCTTAGCTTCTATCTCTCCTCCCTGCGTCCCATCTCTCCACCACCACCAGCATGGATCTGAAGGATCGTAGGCACCGCTCTCTGACCAGAGGTCGCTGCCCCAAAGACTCCCAGTACAACACCTCCTCCCTGGACACAGATGAGTGTCGCGTGCCGACCCAGAAGTCCTACAGCTCCAGCGAGACGCTCAAGGCCTTCGACCACGAGCAGAGGCTGCACTATGGCGGCTGTGTGACTGACCTGGTTCACCATGAAGCGGAGGAGTATTCGAGGCAAGGTGGGTTTGCCGAGCAGATCAGCAACATTGAATACTTTATTACGCTGTAGCTTTGACTTTGATTCACACTGTGCTGAGCTGAAGACATAAGGAAAATCAACCGGTGGTAGATCTAGGATTTTCAGTGACCATTAGGGGCCTAAATTTACACAGTGGGGCCAAATATATATCCAACATCCATGCACAATTCCTGATTCAGTAAGGCACGTATTTAAGTCAACCTCATAAGCAGTAGCAGCTCCTGCCAAATTTATCGCAATTGTTGCGATGATGGCTATGGTTAGCTGTTTAATGGGTAAATACATGAATCTGTGTCGCTCCTGTCACTTAACATTGAGTCCTGCTGTTTATGTCATGTCTCATGTTGTACTGAGCACAACATGTTGACGAGTCATTTTTCATGATGTTTAAATGAGTCTCATAAACAAACACCAAGTAAACTTCATGTACTGATCAGATCCTGATAACTAGTGATGAGTGTTTGTTAGTTAAAGTGAGAGCAGGTCAGAGTGGAGGAGGAAACAGAAACTCAAGCTTGATACAAACCACCTGCAGCTTCAGCTCTGATCACTGAGCAGCTGATCACTGATCAGTTGTGACCAGAGGAACTCTGTGTTTCACTGTTTCCGCTGTTCTTCAACTAAGTCTCTGACCTGCTGCTTCATGAACAAGCTCTGATCATACTGTGTGTCTCTCTGAGCGAGTGGGGGCCTGTGTGTGTGTGCGTGCTCCCAGACAGCACACAGACACACACACATTTTCTCTCGCTCCTGGTATTTCACATGATGGCCTGATACGATGATGATTTAAAAGGTGAACGTTCATCAGATGTAAACTGATTCGTTCAGTTCACCGTTCACAAAAAATATGAACGTGATCAGTCAACGCCTTAATACACAACACTGCTCCTCTCGAATGATGAGATGATAGGAACAGCGTGATTGGACCAAAGTGCAAGTGCAACAGCTTACGTATGACGAAAGCACATGTGCCCTCCCCTTGCCCTATGAGAGCGACTGTGGGCGATTTTCAGCCATATTGAATTCGACCCATATTGACCAGGGCTCGACGCTGTAGCTGATTTGACGATGATATTCAGAGGCAGCAGGCAGGACATACTGTCTATAATACATTTTTGAAATAATAATGATGATTATAATGATAATTAACAAAATCACTATCATCTTTTTCATCATCCCCTATAGACATTTGTGAATATATTTTGAAAATGTTTCTTTTTTCAAGACAATGAGTACTTCAGAAAAAGCTTAGAAAATATTCCAATATAAAAAAATCTTAGCACACTGTGTTTTGTTAGTAACTGACCTTGTATAAAAGACCACTGAGAGGTCAGGGGCTCTCCAGGGGCCAATCAGATGTCAGCTGGGGCCAGTACTTTTATGACCAAAAAGGAACAGCTCAATCTTTAGGGAATCATGCTTTCTACATTTTGCTTTCTTGTAGAGAGCTATGCATATTAGGTATTGTCACCACTCTCATGTCTGCATGATGACCATGTAGATATAGCCAGTTAGCTTGGCTTAGCACAAATAGGGAAGCAGATGGAATCAGCTGACCTGACACAGTTTCAAAGTTAAAAGTATCTTCGCATTTCCACAACAATAAATTGTGAAAACTGTTTATTATGGTTTCACATGGTGTTTTTTTTATACACTTTCCCTGTGGATTAATGTGGATTAAATACATGAAATAGTTTTTTTTGAAGAATTACAGAGGTGTACAGTTGCTTGAGGGTGGATGTTTTTTTTAAACTCTTTCCCTTTTGTTAGCCAGTCTAGTGGTTTCTCCCTGATTCTTGTCTTTGTGCTAAGCTCTCTGGCTGCTGGTAATAGCATGGTATTAAACTTACACAGTTGAAAGTAGTATCTTTCATCAGGAAGGAAGTGAATAAGCCAATTTCCCCAAAATGTCAAACCACTATTATTTAATTTTTGGAATTTTGTAATTATTATTGAGCATCTAAGTAATGTTTTTGCAGTTTTTATTCAAATTAATTTATAAAAAGGATTTTATGGTTCCGTTATTGTAACAGATACAGACTGCCGCCAGTTGCAGCTGAAAAGCTAAACCAGAAACTCAAGGGTGCAGCGATTTACGAAATGTTACCAATTATTTCAGCTCTCATAGCCCAGAACATATGGTTGAGCCAAGCATTGCCAAATACTTGTAGAGCCCCTCCAGTCCTAACATCTGGTGTCACACATTTAACAGTCACATTGTTGCACATGTAAAGGTTTTCCAGCTGTATACTACTTTTAGCCACAGAGTGTTTTCCTTGTGAGGGCTCTGCGGCAAGCTGGTAATGTAATCACATGGTCTAAATGCCGCACTTTGCAGCAGAGGACCAATGCAGACCTTTAGCACTGCCAAGCCTGTCATAATGAACTTCTGTATCCCCTGGTGAGCGAGTTAGCCAATAGGCCGATAGGTCATCTCTGAAGGGGTGGACCTGTTCTCATAGGCATGTCTTTAAACTGTGTGTGTGTGTGTGTATACTGTGGAGGGACATGAAACAGTCAGTATTGATCCTGGCTGGTGAAAGGAGTCAGACTCAATGGGATTGATCTGTGCTAAGCTCTGTTTTTTCTGCATGGACACAGACAGGAGAGGACGGGATCTCAGGGCAGCACAACAGTGCAGAAGAGGGTAAACACTAGAATGCCCTTCTGAATTAAGTAAATATATGTTTGAAGGTTGAGAGATGATATGTTTTAAATGGAAGATCTTGATTACAGCTAAAAAAAAGTAGACCTACTCTCAAATGTTCATGTCTGACTGAGAGGTTTCAAAGCGAATGTGTAAATTAGATTTTTTCCAGGGAGAGCATACTTTATTGTCTTTGGTCACCTCTGCCTTGGTTGCAAAGAGGGCTGGCAGGATGGATAAAAAGACTGGAAGTCAGTGGTGTGTGCCGTTTCGGACACATAGCTGGTCGATACCACATTCTTCTCAGCCTATCAGCTCCCACAAAATCCCAGACCCACAGATGCATCGTGGGAAGTGTGGCCACAGGAGACCAACAGTGTTGCAGCACCATATGGACTGTGACACCATGGGAGGAGGAGTTGTGCTAGAAGGAGGGAGTAGGAAAAAGGAGTTGGAGTGACAAAGACGGAGCAAGAGAAGCAACAAGAGTTTTAAACAGATATTTTTATGACTTGTGCATGAGAGTGAGGGGAGGAAACAGTTTGTTCTTCTTTTGAACAGCTTGAAGTTTAGTGACAAGATGGTCCAAGTAGACATGAGGGTTTTGAAGAAGGGAATTTGGGTTATTTTAATTTATTTGCAAGCTCTTGTGGTTATCGGGTGCACGAGCAGTGACTGCGTGAGCAAGGAGATCACACAGACTTGTGTTAGATGACAGAGCAATTTATTACATGTTCACACAGATGGTGCACAGAATCTAAAATTTCCTAAAAACGTAGGCTACAAAGAGTAAATCTACAAAGTAAGAGGAGAATTTGAAAGTTTAAGTCTGCAGGGAGTGTTGCGTGTGGTTGCGTCGATGATGTAACGTCTTTCTCTCTTTCACTGGGCGACGTTTCCATAGCCTGCAGGTGTACACAGCCGTGCCGTGCCACCACAGTCCGTCCCTGCTTCCTCTTTGTTGTCCAGAGTCCCATCACCCGCGCTCTCCTCTCTCATGCTAGAACCTCACCAGTGGCTCTCAACGCCGTTCTTCTGCTCCTTCTCCAACTCAGCGTGTAGTCATCCTCCCTTTGCGTCTCGTCCCCGCCATGTCTTTCCTCTGTCCTTCACTCCTGCGTCCTTCCTCATTGTGCCCCCCCGATTCATCTTTTCTTCCATCGTTTGCACCTGTTGATCAACATTCGAGGTAACAGCTTCAAATGCATAAAAAGTCAATTTCAAACTATAAAATATTCAAAGTACAAATATAAAAGCATATCAGATCATGCAAATGATATACACAAAATTAGTAAATAGGAAAAATAAAACTTCTGGACATACAGGAAACTGAATCCATATTTGTGTTATTTTACTAAATATGAATAAAATTAAAGTCGATATTTGATTTCTGAACTGTCCTGCATTATTAGTAAATCATGCACTGATTTTGACACGCTAGAATATATGATTAACTTTGATTCAAGTATGATGATGTCCTCCTCAATGCCAACTTATCAGTCTCCTGCTGAGATTTTGAGGCCGATCCTCAGACTGTAATTTGCTTGTATAGTTTAGTGTAGCACAACCAATTTACACTTCTGTGGTGTGCTAATGTATATTGACTTGCCCTTACGAAATTATATCCATGTGTGAGACAAAAAGGTGTCAGTAACGAACAAGTGGGACTGGAGCACCTGTCATGTGCACTTACTTAATCATGCACATCACATAGATCATTACTGAGTTTCATATTTTTTATTTGCTCACTTGTGGAAAAAAGTCCATAACCCACTGTTTTTCTTCCTTACAGTGCATTTATCCCATACATGCACAATGCAGTGCAAATTATTATCAAAATCACGTTTTCAGATATAAAGACAGGTTTATAATGCGCACATGTTTTTAACACTAACTAATACGTTTGTTTCTTATTGTACATCTATATTTGCTGCAGTTTTGGTCTTACTCATACCAAAGATATCATTGCCTTCGAAAATAAGTTACTTAGTGGACATCATTATGCATGAACAAGCACTGCTAGAACTTCCCCAAGCGTGAATTCAACTTTAAAAGGAACCTCATCTCCCTTCAGAGCTGTATTTGGAGTGCGTTTTAGACTCCGTTTGGGGCGCTGTGTATTTATGTTCGGTGACTCTGTTCCTCAGGGGCAAGAAATATTTTCTGTGGACTTTCTGAGCCTATTAGGAAACAGTTTGCTGCTTTAAAAGGAGGTGAGACAAGCTGATGTTACTGACTTTCATTTAGGCCCACACCGCAGTTACATGCCATTAACACATCATCCTGCATCCAACACAGTCGTCCTTCTCCAGCTATTTTGAATTTGATGCCAA